GAAGGAAGGAAGGAAGGAAGGAAGGAAGGAAGGAAGGAAGGAAGGAAGGAAGGAAAGAAAGAAAGAAAGAAAGAAAGAAAGAAAGAAAGAAAGATTGAGAGAGGAAGGAAGGAAGGAAGGAAGGAAGGAAGGAAGGAAGGAAGGGTGGGAGGAAGCTTTTGTTGACCAGCACACTAATATCCTTTTAGTAAAATTTCTCTCCATCCTATTATCCTTTTTAGTATTTTCATAGCACTTACCACTAACTGAAATTATCCCATTAATTTCTTTGCTTATTGCCTGTGTTCCTCAATGGAATAATAACTCCTTGAGGAGCATCTGGAAGAGTTCATAGTGTGCTCTTAAACAGGCTTGTTGAATAAATGAGTGATGATTGTAGTCACTTTGTATTTTGTATTTTACCCTCTACATTGCTACATAGTAATGAGAAGCTCCGGTTTTGAACTCAGAACTGCAACTGAATCCTATTACCCTTCCTAATTACTAGTTTGGTAATTTTGACAAGTTACCAAGCTTTTGAGCTTCAGTTCACTCATCTGTAAAGTAGGAATGACAGCATTTACTTCACTGAGTTTTGTGAAGATTAAACAAAATAAAGCATAAAACAGTGACCAAAGTGTCTGCTCCATGAGAAAGGCTTAGTAAACATTAGTGACAAAGTAGAATTTTTCTCAAAGGACAGTTATGTTTTAAAAGATCTCAGGAAATTTCCAGACTCAATCTTAACGAGGAGATGCTGTGTCTGGCAGTCAATGGCACATTGACTAGAGTAGGCAGTTAGATGGACAGGAGCAGGAAGGGAGAAGGGAGTATGGCAGATGGGGGATTACCAGCGACCACCCAGTCTCTGCCCAGTGACTACCCGTCTCCCTTAGACCAAACCCTTCTGAGGTTTAGCACAGCTGATAAGCAGGAGATAGGACTGGCCCAACTTTGGGGCATGCACACTTAAGGAAAACGGTGTCCTCTAGTAACCCCAAGACTATGATAATATCGTTATAATATTGCTTACATGGAGGTTTTAGCCCCACCCCCCCCCATGAGTTGCGCTTTAGGCGCTCATGGGAAGATGGCAGACAGGACCCTGCGCCAAAGGCTGGAAGGAGGAAACTGGGATGGATCCAGAGGGTGCTATGACAATAAGATAGGAAGGAGGAGACCAAATAGATCCCCTTAAAAAACACACACTCACAGGGGCGCCTGGGTGGCTCAGTCGGTTGGGCAGCCGACTTCGGCTCAGGTCATGATCTCGCGTCCGTGGGTTCCAGCCCTGCGTTGGGCTCTGTGCTGACAACTTAGAGCCTGGAGACTGTTTGGGATTCTGTGTCTCCCTTTCTCTGACCCTCCCCCATTCATGCTTTGTCTCTCTCTGTCTCAAAAATAAAAACGTTAAAAAAAAGAAAAAGAAAAAAAACCACACACACAATGTGGAACTCAGCCGGCTGCTACCCACCCTCGGGTCAGCCCCCTCCTATGGCTCTAGGTTGTACCTTTGGTTTGCCAAACAAAACCTTAGCCGCTTCAACTTTCTATTGAGTCCACTGAACTCTTTCCTTGAAGAAGACAAGGACCGAGGAATTGTGCAGTTCACCACCCAGTAACACCACTATTGGACTGACTTTGGGCAGAATGGAGATCATATTAAGAAGGCACGTTAACTAGCACCTTTCACATCACACTTGGAGGGTAACTCTTTGGGAGGGTGAGGAATGGTTGAGGCAGGAGGTCAGATGTTGCCAGGTTACCTGATTGGTGAGTGGAGGGTCTTATCCAGTAGGATTTCCTAAGTGAATTTCCCACAGTCAATTATTAGCCATGTAGATCCAGAAGTATCAGTCTCCCAGAGTTGATAAGACTTAGTGAGGTTGCCTCAACTAAAGCTTATAAACTAGAGATCAACTTGTTGAATTAGAATAAGAACCCTTAACTTCCAATGTTAAATATTCATATTAGCCTGAGAAGTCCATTCTCTTCCTCTAAGAAAAAAGAAATCCACGAAAGTTAAAATTTGATGTAAAAATGGCTTATTGAGCAAGAACTACGTGTGGGTCTCAAATGTTATTGGGATGTGTTAGCAGACACTAATGCATCCATCTGTATTGCCAAATCCCTTGGTGGTGCTGGAAGGAGGGTATCAGCTTTCCCCTTTGAACTTCTGTTTTCTAATGATCCCTCACCTTCCTACTGATCCTTTCCTTAGATATCTTAACATCATTTATCCTGCAACTGTTTGGGTCTTACTAATTTAGTCAGGTGAGAGATGGAAGAAACTTTTCAGCCAATTAGCCATTAAATGCCATTATAATTTTCTAGAATTAATTGTTATAACTGCATTCTCTAAACATCTCTTTTAAAGTCGTATTATGCCTTAGTATATTCCATGTTTATTATCTATGTCTGAGTTCACACATTTGAAAATTATCTTAACTGTAGGAGTAGTAAGGATTTGCAGACATTGGGGCTGTTCACAAATATTCCAGTTTCCTCCTTCCAAAAACAAAGTTGGATTGCAGCTCCCTACCTCCTTGAAGGGATACATGACTAATGACTTGCTTAACTGTTGAAATGGGTGAACTGACAGGTGACATTCCCAGGTGGGAGTCTCTTTAAATTCTAGGCATGATTAGCCATTCTTACTGATGTTTCAGAACCTCATCAATCTTGATCCTTGAGCTCATGGAGCACATCTCACTACCCAACCATGATGGGCATGTCATGTCAAGGGGCAAATACCCCTTCCTCAGTTGTCTTAAGCTACCAAGCTTTTGCTGTAATTTATGCACAATAACCCAACCTATTCTCACTAATATACAACTGAAAATCTCAACAGTGTCCCCTGATGATATCTGGGTTGGTAATGTTTTTAGCTTAGACATGTTTCAGTGTAACGATCTAGAAAATAAGATTGTTAGATCAGAATATGTCTAAGATTCTTCTAAATGGCTAATTATACTCTACATATACTGATGATTTTCCTGAGCTCTGCCTTTAAGTTGATATTTTTATTGATGAAACTGTGCTGTCATTAACAGCCTATCAGATGAGTTTTCCACTCTGTTGTGATATGATTATAGAACACTCTTTTTTGGAGATATTTTGGAGAAAGAACTGATTTTTACTAGTATAAAGGAAGATTCCCAGACAAGACCTTTTCTATGTTTACGAGAGGTTTCTTTCCAAAGTTTTGAAGTTATAGAAACAGAATTCATCTAAGCAAATTTTTTGTGGTAATTTGTAGGTAAAATGAAAAACTATTTGTGGCACTGTGAAGAGAAAAAAAAAAATGTCTCACTGCTAAAAATGTTGAGAAGGGGGACAAATGGCTCATTGAACACATGGTAGCAACACTGAAATACTTTAGGAGAAAGCAAACATCCTCATGAGAAATAAGATACCTGCTATTTAAGGATTACTGAAAAGAAACGATGCTTATACTAAGTGTATCAATTACCAACCAATGGAATATGTTCATGGGTGACAACCTTCTCAAGTAGAAATTATCACTCATCGTTAAGCTTCATGCAATTAACCAAGCAGGTGAGGAGGAGAATACCACTGCTGAATCCTTTATACTTCCTATTTCTCAAATGTTCATCTTGAAAACTCAATATATCCCTCGCTGAGGATAACATATGGAATGACTAAATCTTAAGTATTAATTCGAAGCCATTTTTTCTCTCCACTATAGCAGGATACAAAATACAGCTGAGAACAAAGTTAGAGTATAGGAAAATACAGCCTTTCTCCCCTAGGCTCAGATAACAGACTTGTAGCCAAATGGAATTTTACCAAACTTACTAAAATGAGTAACATTGTGTGAGCACTGTTCCCTTGGGAACTGGATAAAACGAGATGTCTATCTCAAAGGGTTCTCCAAGAAAAACCCTGAAAGAAATGGGCATTTGTCTTGACCAAGAGACAACTGCAGAAAATTACAAACACCTAAGAATGGCTTAAAAATAAAAAAAATTGAATTTTTCCCAAATATGATAATAAAAAAGATGTTAACATTTATTGAATGCCAATTATTCATTATTTCAACAGCATTTATTGATTACATATAAGGTGCCAAGAACTATGCCAGATGCTTTTACATGAACTGTATAGTTTGGTCAAGAACTCTGTAAAGTACAGATTACTTTATAGATTAACGGCTTACCTAAAGTCACACAACTAATAGGACTTTTTATTCAAGAGGTCGACTACATGCCAGCACTTTTCTGTGTACTAGGTTGCATCATTAACATTTGGAGGGCCAGGGATGAGAGTATACATTGAAGCCCCTATACTCTATGTCTAAATATTGAAAATTATAAACAGTGATGTTCTGGATCCAGCTTCTATCAGCCAGCTGCTAAGAGCCAACTGGATGCGTCTCTTCCCAAATTCATGTGCAGTAATGTTGCATCTGTGAAATGTTGCACCTTGAAATTGGCCATGACAGGAAGATATATCCAGTACATCAAATGGCAAATGCTACATATTAGGTAGTGGTGGTGGTTGTTTTCAGAGGGTATCTTGTTGAACACTTACCATCGCTTTTAACAATCTAACTGTTGAATAAAATATGTTCCATCCTCCAACCTTGAAAAATATATCTTCATAATAACGTAGAAGTCCAAGCTTGAATTTAGAATTCCCTGTTGCCATATTATACTATATGTTAACTAACTAGAATTTAAATAAAAATTTGAAACAACAACAAAACTAATAGAATTCCCAGATGCCTTGTTCCGTACCAGAATTTGGGAAGGGAGGGAAGGCCAGTCCCTAGACTCTAGAGCCACAGACCCCTCCACTTCTCATCCTACCCCAAGATTCATCCTGCACAGGGAGGGAGACTGTGTGGATACTCCAGAATACACATCTCAAATTCATCTCTCTATACACCATACACAGCTGCTCCTGGCTCATCCCACTGGTCTATGTGAGTACACACCAGGGCCACAGTGCAACCTCAGTGGCCTGGAGAAAGAGAAGGGAATACTCACAGACACTAGAAGTAGGCACAAGTCTTTGCTGGTGTGAAATTTCAGGGCCTGTGCTTGCAGAGCATTATCTAGAATGGAGGGGTTGGTGCAGGTTCTGGGTGTGTACCTTGGTCTCACAGATGGATCACGCATGGGGAGTAGTACTGATGAAGGAGGGCCAGAGTAGAGCTCCCCAAAACACAGGCCACGATTGCCTGTTCTAAGAGCAGTACTGAATACAGGAGTCCAGAGCCCTCATGGAGTTCATGTTCCGCTAAGAGGAAATATAATCATTTAATTATTTAAAACAAATTATCCCCAAGATCAAATTGGCTATATTACCACCCTTTTCTTCAGCCCAAGTAAAAAAAAAAAAAAATTAATATTTGCCATTTATTGACAGCTTATTATTTACTCAGAAATTACTAAGTTCTTAGAAACCAAATGACTAAAAATTCAGAGCCTAGCTATTTATTTTAGTTAGCAAAACGATTATTAATATTTATTTATCATCACAGTATTTGTTATCGGACAGACTGAGGACAGCTTCCCACTCAATGCAAATGTTCCTTATACCTACCTGGCTGAATCATTTTGCAATTTCTAGACTGGGCTCGCTCCTTGCTCATGGGACCTTTCACCATGGTTGATGAAAACATTTTTGTTATTTACCTGAGGATTAGGACCATGTGGGCACTAAGAACTGGTTGTTCAGTATTTAACGGCACACCACTGAGTTACACATCTCTATAGTAAATATTTGAATACAGGCCAAAAAAAAATTAAACAGAAATGACATTTGGGGAAAGGAATTCGAAAGAAGGAGAAGAAAGACTTACTTTTCATTTAATCTTTCTATATTTTTCTTAATCATGTGAGGGCAGTGGGATTATGGGCCATTTTGTTTGCCTTCTTCATATAAAATTAAATATAAATTACAGTCTATTTTAATATTAAAACCTGTCTTGTACTTTTTAAACCTCTATAAAATTACTAAAATTGAAACCAAAAGAACACTGCTATCTACCACCTATTTATACGGTAAGTATTCTTTGTAAATCTTACCAGTTTTCCTTTTTCAAAATAGGAAATTTGTAAGCAGCAGAATTTTCCCAGAGGTACTAGATTTCACGGAAGCTAACTAGTCCTGCCATCTAGAAGATCTTCTCAAACCCAAGACAACTCCCTGAGCATCACGGTGTGTTAAATATGGTACAATATAAGTAGGCTGCCCCTGGAGTCACCAGACTTCCTCCTCTGGAAACACCCACCTTCAAATCTCTGAGTCAGATCTTTCGCAGTTTCCTCCCATCTTTCTGTTGGGGCAATACCGAAGAAGGCTTTCAAGAAATCCAGAGCATCTTTTGTTTGTGCACACTCATCTTCTATTTCAGTGTTTCTAATGTGTAACGCATTGGCTACACGTAAGTTCATTAGCCGTACTTAGCATGGAGTTAATTTTAAAAATAAACTTTTCTTAAATCTGAAAAAAAACAAAAACAAAAACACATGGGCAAAGTGTCCACATTTCTGGCTCTGGTACCAATGGTGTCTCTTGCACATTTGGTCACCTTCTATAGCTCATGAACGATCATGGTCTCATTTTCTCCATCTGAAATCCAGAATTTGATATGGTTTGCTGCTTCCAGGATAGTACAGTAAGCAGCCACATGTGAAAGCAAGCTGAAGACTATGAAACATTAAAACAGATAGGAGAAAGTCCTCTGAGAAATGCTCGTTGTATTTTTTTCATCTTAAAGAGGTTTCACATCGTCAAGAGTAGGATTTGTTTGTTGTTTGTGTCCAGTGTGGGAATTAATTCTTTCTGTGCAGGATTTAATATTTGAACTGTTGAGGCACCTGGGTGGCTAAGTCAGTTGAGCATCCTACTCTCTGACTCTTGGTTTCAGCTCAGGTCATGATGTCACAGTTTCATGAGTTTGAGCCCCATGTCTGGCTTTGCACTGGCAGCACAGAGCCTGCTTGGGATTCTCCCTGTGCCTCTCTCTCTGCCCCTCCCCTGCTCATGCTGTGTCTGTCTCTCCCAAAATAAATAAACTTAAAAAACAAACCAAAACTTGAATCATTGATAGGTTTGTTTTTGTTTTGTTTTGTTTTACTCTTCTATAAGAAGCCATGTATGTGCAACACATTTTTTTCAACAACTGTCTTAAAGCTGGAATAGAATTTACCTAATTTACTCCAGTGATGGTTATGAAAGCACAAAATGTGAAATTAGTTGAATCTGTGTCTACGATGTCATCTGAATGTTTAAAATATAATGAACTGATTGCTTCTGGCATACATATAACCTCAGTTACTGTGGGTTTAAAATGCTGGCAACATTTATGAGGGCCTGCCATGTGCACATACTCTCCTCCCATACTTGGGAATAAAACTTGCTGTTATTTTCACTGGACACTGTGTGTCAGTAATTTGACCCAGAGACTTGGGGGAAAGGAAGAAGGAAGATGGAGGAGGGGATGACAAATGAAGAGACACCGTTTACATTTTACTGTGGAAGTCGCTGACAGGGCATCACTGAGGAAGGGAACACTGCAGTTCTGGAAGGGGCAGTTGTCCTGGGCAAGAAACCACAGCAGAGGCCATGGGAGAGTTGGGCTGCATTTTCTCTCTCCGTGGTTAGCTCTTTTGTTTGTGCCTGTCTCACAGCTGTGAGAGTCCTTCAGGCAAGAAGCAACAAGTTGCAGGCTGAGGCTGCTTCGGTGTCTTTCGGGAAGGGTGGTTTTGTGGGACAAAGGCCCAGGGCTCAAGTGTCTCTCCCTTGGATTTCAGTTGTCATCTGTAGACTTTCTTCTAATGGACTCTCTTCCCCATCAGGAACTAGGACTTGAGACTCGTCCACCAGCCCTCCCCCTGCACTGGGCATTCTCCATCTGAATGCCTGGCAGCCAGGCTTTGGGTCCCTGGCACACTGCTCACCCCGGCCTTCCCTTTTGTTGCCCTCAGGCCTGTGTAATTGTGACTCAAGTCACTGGGCAACCAGGTGCCTTCAGAAAAGCCCCAGGGTCTCTGGCAGCTACTGTTCATTTCAGCCAAAGCTGCGGAGGAAGGAGGGCATCAGGCTTAAGGGGACCCATCCCAACCTTCCTCCCTGCCCCTGAAATAGTCAAGCTCCCTCCAAAGAGGCTCAAATGGAATATTCTATGGGCAAGTAGACATCACCTCACCTCTGCTGAGGTGGGAGCTAGTAGCTCCTCCCTGTTAAATGTTCATCTCAATGTCTTTTCTCCAAGTGACTTTTAGAGTAAAAGAGCTGTCAGTTTGAACAGATGAGACAGGAGTCTCCTTCACTTGCTTTGGTTGCTGCTGCTGGCTCAGGGTCAGGAGACCAGACAGGTGAGAACTGCTTTTCCTTCTATCAGGAAAACTCTGAACTAAGGCAATGCTTTGCACTGAGTCTGGGGGTTTTGTGGTTTCAGGCACTAATAGGTGTTCAAAGTACTTTCTCTTTCTAACTGCTTCTCCTCTAGGTCATAAAAGCTCTTTCCTTTCCTTTCCTTCTTCCCTTCCCTTCCCTTCCCTTCCCTTCCCTTCCCTTCCCTCCTTCCTTCCCTTCCGTGTCTCTCTCTCTCTCTCTCTCTCTCTCTCTCTCTCTCTCTCTCTCTCT